TGACTTATAAGGAAGTTCACAGCAACCTGGGGCTTTATAACAGCAGTAGTATCTGCACCGGAGTTGTCGTCTGCCAGGAAAGGATGCAACACAGAGTCACGGAGAGTTATCTCCGCATCCTTTCTAGCTTGAGCTCTAGTTAGCACACAAGCAGGCAGAGGGGCTTCATCATGAACTTCGGGTTCTAAAATGAGTTCCGGCAGAGGTACGACCAAACCTCCAGCTGCATCATTTCCTAATATTAAATCAACTCCCTTTGTAGGGAGTTCGTCCAACACACCAACCAGAAAATCACCCGAGACTAAGGGACAGGTCAATTTAATGTGGTGCATTTCGGCCGAGACACCTCCCATCTCGATGCCTTGCAGCATCACCGAATAGCCGGCTTGGCTATCTTCAGAAAAGGGCAGCAAACTTCTTTTTATTAAAGTCAGGGAAGCTCCTGTGTCTCTCAAGATAACAACTTTTTTGTCAGCTTCAGAACCCGGAAGAGACACAAAACCCTCCGAAAGGAATGGTTTAAAGCAGGGACTGGGCTTTTCAGCGTGAGTTTTGTTACAGCAAGCCATTTCAGGTCGGTCCTTATTTGGAGAACTTCCGGTTCTACGGTTCTTTAGTTTCAGAGAATAACAATCACGGATGACGTGGCCACGTTTATGGCAGTAAAAACATTCGGGTTTTTCAGAATTCGAGGACGGAGTTAATCTTACACTGGGTCTGAATACACGGTTCGCGTCAGTACGAGTCTCTCTGACCCGGTGAGTGAGGGAGAACTCATCGGCGAGGAGAGCAGCTTCAGAGAAAGAATTCACTTTCTGTTCGTTCAAATAAAGAACCAGTTTTTCAGGCAGATGTCGTTTGAACTCTTCTATTAAAATGAGCTCCTTTAGATCAGACAAAGTGGAAATATGCGAAGCAGAACACCATTTCTCAAACAACACAGACTTCATGTGAGCATACTCAACATAGGACTGATTTAACTTAGGTTTCTCGAATCTGAAGCGCTGTCTGTAGGCTTCAGGAACTAGTTCATACGCTGTGAGTACGGCTGACTTTACCTTGTCGTAATCTGTACTGTCTGTTGGAGACAGAGCGGATACCACCTGAAGGGCCTTACCTGTTAACCTGCAAGTCAAGAGGAGAGGCCAGACCTCGCGAGGCCACTGCAGCGTCGCAGCGATCCGCTCAAAGGCAAGGAAGTAGCCGTCCACTTCTGTCTCCCGGAACTGGGGCAGCAGCGTAATGCATTTGCTGACATCAAACGGTGTCGTTTGCAACGGCGAACTGGAGGGTGTCACTGGATCTGGGCGAAACCCCGCACGGGAGGTAGACGAGTCATCAGGTTCTTGAGAAGAAGTCCAAGCCGCGTCAGGAACGGACTTTTTGTTGCGTAGCTCGATCTCGAGCATCTTAAGCTGAGTTTCAGCGTCCAGTCTTTTTAAATCCATTTCATGGCGTAACCGCCGTTCGAGAGCGCGTTCATCAGCCTCCATGCGCAGGCGAGCGAGCCGGAGCTTCAGGCGAGCTCCACTGAGTGGAGAAGTCGAAGGACTCAGATCTGGTGACGATGAGCCGGAAGAGGATTCTTTTGGCTTGACCTCTTTTTCTGGAGCCACCGGAGGCGATGAAGGGCGTGAGCCGGTCTCAGAAGGAGGCGGAAGGATCTCGTGAGCCTCCAAATAGTCCACAACGAACTTCCGTAGAGCGTCTTTCGGGAGCGATTTCGGGACAACCAGATCGAAGTGGGCAGCTACTTCCTGCAGGTCGGCTTTTCTGCAACGCTCCAGCAGCCGGCGCGAGGGAGCCTCCACAAAAGCCCGCAAGTCAAAGGTTGCCATGGTGACGTCCGCTCCACCTCCAAGAGAGGAAACAAGGTTAGTCCAGAAACACAAAAAGATGGTAAACCGGGAATAGATGTACAATATGACAAAAATCCCGGACGAGCCCCCACTCTTTTACGCCCCCCAGCTCGTCTAGGAGATGATGGTTTGAGGGCGTAAAGAAAAATGTGTGTAAAACCAGACCAAACCAAGATTTACTCTCTTAGAGGAGTTTATTAACTAAAAACACTGCTTTATGCAGGCAAAGGAACAATGAATACAAAACCGAAAGGATGTCCACACTGGGGAATTAATGATAATACAAAACACAAGGACCATCCAGGACTGGGCAAAGAACAATAATATTAATAAACACAAAACGCCGGGACTAAACCGGGAAACTAAGGGAATGAGTTAAACACAAAAAGCTCCACCAGAAGGGTGAGCTGAACTCTTTAACGAGTAAGAATAAACACAAAAAGCTCCACCAAAAGGGTGAGCTGAACTCTTTAACGAGTAATAATAAACACAAAAAGCTCCACCAAAAGGGTGAGCTGAACTCTTTAAAGAGTAATAATAAACACAAAAAGCTCCACCAAAAGGGTGAGCTGAACTCTTTAACGAGAATTCTAAAGAAGACGAAAAGCGAGCTCTGAACTAGGAAGAATAACCAAACCACACAGGTTGCACAACGAGACTAAATAAGTCAGCTCTAGGAGGGAAAAGAGGAACACCAGCTTTAACACTCAGGCCTCTGCTAAGCTTCCCTCCTCGAATGACAGAGGGAGCTGGCTTTTAAAGGAAGCTCCCTGATCGGATAATGTGCAACACCTGGCTCAGCTGGAGCCAGGAGATCAGGAGGAGCACCGAGGCCATCTTGTGGCCACAAAACAGACAGCGTCTGTAACATTCACCAACAACTCCATGCTACTAGAGATCCTGTTTCAGAAGTTGAATCCATCCTTACAACTCCAAGTCATTTATTCTCAAGTTTCAGTCGCCCCTCTGCAACTGAGATATCAAATTTAATCAGGGAATCCAAATCATCCACCTGCTTGCTTGATTCTCTCCCCACAGTGCTACTTAAAGCCTGTCTTCCATCACTGGTTCCTCATATCCACCATCATTTACTCTTCCCTCAGTACCGAAGTTGTTCCTGCAGCATTAAAAGCTGCCTGCATCACTCCTATTCTCAAAAAGCCTGGTGCTGATCCCACGAACTTTGATAATCTTCGTCCAATATCCAAATTACCATTTATTTCCAAAATCCTTGAAAAAGTTGTTGCTTCTCAGCTTCACTCTTATCTCAATTATCATAATCTATATGAACAATTCCAATTTGGTTTCAGACCACAACACAGCACGGAGACAGCACTAGTAAAATCACAAATGATCTACTAATGGCAGCAGACTCAGGCCATCTCTCCATTCTGGTTTTACTAGATCTAAGTGCTGCATTTGACACCATTTCTCACAGCATACTTCTCAAAAGATTAGCATCTATCGGCATTAGTCACACATCCCTAGCCTGGTTCACCTCATACATATCGGATCGTACTCAGTTCATTCAACTTCAGTCTCACTCTTCTAGTCCTTCCCTGGTTACTGCAGGAGTTCCCCAAGGCTCAGTTCTAGGCCCTCTTTTATTTATCATCTATTTGCTCCCCCTTGGTTACATTTTCCGCAAATACAACGTTGATTTTCACTGTTATGCTGATGACATCCAGCTGTACATTTCCTCTAATCCAAATGCATCCCTTCCACCAATCTCCCTCTCTGTCTATCTGAAATTAGATCTTGGCTCTCTTAGAACCCACTTAAACTAAACAGCAATAAAACGGAACTCCTACTCATTGGCACCGCTTCTGTTTTAAAAAATTCTCCCAACTTCTCTATCAATATTGACAACTCCACAGTTCACCCATCCTTACAGGTAAAAAGCCTTGGTGTCATACTAGATGGTACACTTTCATTCCAATCTCACATTAACCATGTTACTCGAGTCGCATATTTCCATCTTCTCAATGTCAACAGACTCCGTCCTTTTCTCACACCTCATGCTGCTGCAATCCTCGTTCATAGTCTCATCACCTCTCGCGTCGACTACTGTAATTCCCTTCTATTTGGTCTCCCAACTAAATCCCTTCATAAACTCCCAACTTCTCCACAACTCTGCAGCACGCATCATTACTGGGACCCCCTCAAGAAATCACATCACTCCTGTTCTTAAAAACCTACACTGGTTTTCAATAGAAACCAGGATCATATACAAGATCCTACTACTTACATTTAAATCTGTACATAGCATGGCTCCACTTTATCTATGTAATTTACTAACTATTGCTACCACTTCCCGATCTCTTAGATCCTCATCTGCACTTCATCTGGTTCAGCCTCGAGCTCGCCTTACAACCATGGGGAGCAGAGCTTTCAGTTGCTCTGCTCCACGGCTCTGGAACTCACTTCCCTCTGCCATTAGAAATACGGACTCTTTTCCATTATTCAAGGCACACCTCAAAATCCACTTATTCAAACAAGTTTATTCCCTTTAGACCTAGACTTTAGAATTGTTTCAAATTTGTATGTATCTTGTTTGTTCTTATTGCCCTATCTAACCTCAGTTGTTTTTTTTTGTTTTTATCTTTGTAAGGTGACCTTGGGTTTGAGAAAGGCGCCCTCAAATAAAATGTATTATTATTATTATTATAAAGGTTCATTCAAACCCAGGGTGGAGTCTTCACTGACCTACACTTCCTGCTCCTCGGCTGCATGGCAGCCATGGACAACCATGCTGGGGACTAGAAGCATTGGCTGATTCAAAACTAATGTTTTAACCTCCATAATGGTTTATGGCAGGATTTTTAAAATAAGATGCACTAAAAGGCCAGAGTAATGATTACACATGTCTACAGCAGTATTAATCATAGTTTTGCTGCAACACAGGTTTATTTAGGGGTGACTCACTCTTTAAATGTGTGTATTTGTGGTTGTCTCTGTTGGTCTTGTGCTTTCCTTCTTAGTATGTCCTTCAGAAGTCATCAGTGATTATTATTACTAACTCCAGGTATACTTGGCTTTGTCCTTTTGGGTTTCGTGATGATGTATGGCTCATGTTTAATGGAACCTGTGGCACAAACCTGAAAGTGTGTTTTGTTGTTATGCTTTTGTCATCTCCACCAGCGACAGGTTGTTGTGGGGATATGCGCAATGATGAAGAAGTCCAAGTCAAAGCCCATGACTCAGATCTTGGAGAGACTGTGTAAGTTTGAATACATCGATGTAGTCATCTTTCCTGAGGAGGTGATTCTGGAGGAACCTGTGGAGAAATGGCCACTCTGCGATTGTCTTATCTCCTTCCATTCAAAAGGTAATATAGAATGTTGGTTCCAGCAGGAAACTGTGTGTTTACGTAACATAGTAGCACCCTATACCCTGTTACCCTGTCACGGGCAAACAGCTCTTTTCACAACAAGGCTGATTTAGGGGGTGTAGAATGGCCTGTATCAGGGTTCCTGGGACAGATGAAAGCCCAAAGAACATTTCTTATTCTTCTGGGAGATTCAAAGCAGAGTTTTAGATTGATGATAAACTGCATTCTTTGTCCCCTTTATGTTCTGGGTTTATTGAAAAACTTCTTCTGTAACAGTTCCTTACTGTTGTGATCTAAAACATTGTATCTCAATGTCTGAGGCTGCTTCGTAAATAGTTTTCGAATAAACAATACATATAGAAACTTCTGATCAAGCCATATCAATTTCAGACTAATAATCTACAGAATAATCTACAGAGTTAAGCCCCACCCACTTCCGGTTAAACCACTTTAGAGGACAAAAACGTCAGCTGGTAAAAATGGCTATAAAAATGTATACATTCATATTTTTTTCTTTTCTTTTTTTTCATAGATCTGTTAAACAACTTCAGCCCTGCTCTAACATATAAAATCTTCCATCACTTTGAGGATTTTAACCCGTCAAATGCCAGTTTTATTACTTAAAGTCATTTCTGTAATTTATGAAAAAAAAAAAACATTAAAAATGAGTTATTTAAAAAAAACTTTATCTTCCTGGGGCATTCATTATAAATCAGTCTTGGTTATGTTATGAAATATCTAAACAATAAAAAACTTTGCATAAATAGTTTTTGTGTAGCAACAGATTAATTTTAGCAGACGAAAATGTCCCATAGACTTCCATTCAAACCACAGATTTTGATCTTTTTACATCTGCAGCAAGTAGTCATGCTTTCTGTGACATTAGGGTTTCGTTTTGGAGAAAAGTAGTCAAATTTATGGTTTTTACTGTTCATCACCAAATTCAGCCATTTCTCCATATGTGGCCCAGGCAAGAAAGTCTACACATTTCTTTAGATGTTGTGCTGTTTGTAATGAAGTCAAAAGTTCAGCCTGACTTCTGATAACTAGATAAAACACAGTTTGACTCTTGCTGAACTTTTATTAATTTATCCCTACAATCTGGCTCTGTTCCATCTGTTTTCAAACATACATGTTGAACCTATCCTTAAAAAACCAAGTTTGAACTCATCTCAGCCTAAAAATGACAGACCCATTTCTAAATGACCCTTTATCTCTAAAATATTGGAAAAGGTTGTGGCAGATCAGCTGATTAGTTTTCTGGAACTACACAACAGTTTTGATAAATTCCAGTTTGGTTTTGATAAAAAGCATTCAACAGAAACAGCTTTGCTTAAAGTTCCCAGTGACATCATGAAAGCTGCAGACAACGGGGGGTTCACAGTAGGAGTTGCATGACTTAATTTTTTTAAAGTCGACAGTCAAGTAATGAAAATCGAATAGACTTCGACTAGTCGTTGATGACGTCATACACCTGAAGCGGGGGGGGGGGGGGGGGTCGCTGGAGTTTTTGATAATTACAATTGCGCCCACATTTTCTAAGTTAACACATCTCTTTTAACAACGGTAGTTTCTGCATCCTACTTCAGTCCTCTCCCCCCTCCCCCTGCGCAGCAGCAGCAAACTGATGCGCCTGCAGCCTCTCAGAGTTCCTGCTGCTCTAAACATTAAAATAATTATTTCATTTTCTGTTCCTCACTTCTGATTACCTTCAGTGGTGTCTGTTTGTTGCAACCACCAGGTACAAAAACAGACTTGTTTTTATTTGACTATTTTTCTGTCCTGCCTGTTTATTATCTTCCTGCATCTCCTCTCAATCCTAAAGAAAAACTGCTACCTGGGTTCATATATATTCACCTTATGAGTTACCTTTGAACTGCAGTTCTAAAAGATCTACCGACCACAAAAACAGCGGAGTGCCGCTGCTCGCCAGCCGACTACAACGGGACCGTTTTTGCTGCGGAGTTCGTGCCGGAGCGGAGATAGTGGAATCTTGGGCGTGCGTCACCGGAGAACAAAACAGGTGAAGAGCCTCGCTCCGCAGCAGCGAAACGCATCAGGCACAAATAACAGACAGAAAACATGAAAGGAAATAAGCCGACATGAACAATCACGTGTTTAATTTGTTTTTGAGGTGGTGACACCTGATTTGGCGGTGCTCAGGATGCAGATGTCTGGAGCGCGTCAACGATCAGAGCTTTGCATGCTTAAACTGGTTAAGATTAGGATGGGGGTGAGGGGAAGGTAAAATTGCAAGAGGGAAAAGGTCACAGTTTGGTTAAATGTCCGTTTTACCGCCGGTGTCAGTACCGACGCTCTGGCACAGCGCGTCGCCTCCGCCTCCCGACGCAGGGGCTTATCACCTGCTGGAGGACTGCATCTTGTCAGTCATTATCATGTGACAGCGACTAGTCGATGACAGGCATAAAAAGTCACTACAGAGCCGTGAAGTCGACTAGGCGACTAGTTCATACAACCCCTAGTTCACAGTGTTAGTATTATTAGATCTTTCTGCAGCTTTTGACACTGTTGATCACAACATCTTAATTAGACTTGGTGACTCGGTGGGGATCTCTGGAACTATTCTAGACTGGTTTAGATCGTACCTTTCTAACAGAAGTTACAGTGTCTGTAGAAACCAAATCATGTCAGATTCTACCCATCTGTTCTGTGGGGTACCCCAAGGCTCTGTTTTGGGTCCACTGTTGGTTCTGCTGTACATACACCCTCTTGGGCAGATACTTGGTTCTTTTCATAATGTCTTTTATCACTTCTATGTAGATGACATTCAGCTGTACTGCTCCTTTAAGGATTCTGACTTCTACAAACTGTCTGAATTGCTAGAGTGTCTATCAGGGATCACCAGCTGGCCAGAAGATAACTTCCTTCAGTTAAACATTAAAAAGACTGAATGTCTGATCATTGCCCCTGAGAGCATAATTCCCCTGATTAGGCAACAACTTGGTCATTTATCCTCTGCTGTAAAGCCAAAGTTGAGGAATTTGGTTGTTGTTGACCAATCAATGTCTCTTGAAGGTCACTCAAAAAAATTGGTCCGAAACGGTTTTAATTAAGAAATATCTCCAAACTGTGAAGGTTGGTGTCAAAACATGAACTTGAAATGGTTCTCCAGGCCTTTATCTCTTCCCGTCTAGATTACTGTAACACACTTTTCACGTGTTTTTACTGCAGGGTTCTTGCAGGTTTCAGTGAGTTGGATTTAAGATCTTTTAAAGACCTTGTGAGACCTTTATGTACGCAATTTAAGACCACTATGATGCATAAATAGCAACAGTCAAATCCCAAAAATTCAATGCCTTTTATTTTTATCAACTTTTTAATCAAATATTATATTTTTCTTTAATAAAACCAATTAAAGATTCAAATATTAAAGTCCCATCAGTTGTCACACACACCAGAGCAGCCATTTTGTCAACTAACCCTCTCAACACAACATTATGTACTGTCAATGTCAGTGTTGGGAAAGTTTGCTTTAAAATTAACTAGTTCAAAGTTCAGTTCATACATTTCAAAACAAGTTCATTTCTTAGTTCATAGTTATTTTTTCATATATATATATATATATATATATATATATATATATATATATATATATATATATATATATATATATATATTTCCCTCAATAATATGAGGAACAGCTGCTTGAATGGCTTTCATAAAAAGATTAATTATTAATTAATCTGTGGGAATAACCAGGCTGAGGTAGGAAACTAAGAAGTACCTCAAAGAGCGAAACATTTAATTTCTTTTAAACTTCTCAAATTTGGTGACTTGTTTGCTTAAAGATAGACAATGTTATAGAACGTGGGCCACAAAGAGCAACAATCAGCCCCAAATGAACGAATAAAAACAAAGCAAATAAATTAATATATTACCAGTGCGACTAGTTTTTTTTAAATTAGTTTGCTCCAGTTTACCCCATACTCGAAAGCTCCAGCTTTCAAGAAGAAAAAATTAACTGGAACAGAGTCAGAGAATGTTTTTTAATCCAACTGTGAGGTTCAACATAGCAGCTCGTTGTAATGACAGTAGCAGTTTGTCATTAACAGAGGTGGAAAGTAACAAATTACATTTACTCACTTTACTTTAATTGAGTAGCTTTTTTGTATATTTATACTTTTTAAGTCGTTTTAAAAAGCTATACTTTTACTTGAGTAAGTTTTTAAAAAAGAATTGTAATTCGCTACATTTTAAATCATATCCGTTACTGAGTAAAAATAAATTATAGGTTTAATAAATTAAAAACATTATGTGTAGCAGTGTCGGAACGGAAAGAGACACCTGCATGAGCCGCGTCTAAACCGTGGGGGGGTGTACACTTTTGCTCAAAGACATCAGTTCAGTCCCTCAACTCGCTGTTTACCTCCTCTCTCCCTCCTCTCCTGTGGGTTGGAACCCGCACCTTCGCGCACCGGTGTGACGTCATCAGAATTCTGCTCGGTTCGGTAACCAGACTCGGTTCCGTGTTTGAAATGTATTTCCCGCTCCGCATGGAAGTGTCAAAATAACATTTAGCGCTCATAACAAGCGGATTCTCAGCGCGTTGCTCATAAAACAGAAGACCTGCAGGCCTCTGTGAGTTAAAACATCCTGATACTGTTGAGGTGTAAACATTGAGCTCCATCCCTGTGTTTGAACTCAGAAGATGATCCTTGATGCCACAGATATGTGATGATTTAGCTTGTTTCTTTATTTTAGTCCAGAATAAGATATTAAATTATTACTAAAGCAGTTCAATGTAGTTAAATTAGTCATTCAAAAGATTCTAACACGCTGCAGTGTGTGTGTGTGTGTGTGTGTGTGTGTGTGTGTGTGTGTGTGTGTGTGTGTGTGTGTGTGTGTGTGTGTGTGTGCGCGCGTGTGCGTGTGCGCGCGTGTGCGTGTGTGCGCGTGTGCGTGTGTGTGTGTTACACATATAGGACTGCATGAGACAGCGTGGTTTCATCAAATCCATGCATCTTATTTCTCGGCTGAATAACTCATATTTCATAAATAATGACGTCTCTGCAGTGTTTATGATAATGTTTTATCTTATCTTTGTTCTGGGAGGTGTAACATATCATGATACGAGCCTTTTAAAACCTGTTAAAGTAGTACAAGAGGAGATAAATGCATGAATTTAAAGTTCATGTTTGGAGGCTCACGCTGGTGAGGAGACACCATTAGTTCTAGTAACAACCTGGGCTCCCAAGGCCTATTCTGGATGGATGTTACGAGATGCTTAAGGTTTCCAGTTGGATGACTGGAGGATTATTTAGGAGGATTGGAATGAACAAACTGATGTCAGTGGTGAAGGGTTAAATGAGTGAGTGAACCCACTACCAAGAATGAACTCTTCTAGCTTTAAAAATCAGCTGCTCTAAATAAGCATGAAAGCTCTAGGACGGACATGGATAAAGGAACTGTAATGTAGAGGTAAAGTAGTGCAGGGCCAACGTTAACAGCTGTCATAAGGTCCATCTGAAATGTTTGACTGCATTAGGCTTGTTATGTTATGTGACAGGTTAGAGCACAGTCTCATGTTAGAGTTTTGTCATGAAAACATTGAGATACCTCACACACTGATGGCATCTTAAACAATTATTTTTTTTCCTCAAAATAAAGAATAATTTTAATCACAATTGAAACCTACCATACTAGAAAAACCTTGTCCAATGTGCACGTCCTGTTCTAACTGATTGGATAGAAATCCTTCCATCAAGCTGTGTGTGTTTGCGTGTGTGTGTGTGTGTGTGTGTGTGTGTGTGTGTGTGTGTGCACGCACACACGAGCGAATTGTGAACTGGCGTTGTGATTTAGCACTACTTAGATGTAGCCATCCTTACGCTGAAAAAAATATAACTAAGTAACTTTTACTTTGAGTACATTTTGTTTACGATACTTTTTACTTTTACTTGAGTAAAAATTTAGGCAAGTAATTTTACTTGTACTTGAGTAAAAAATTATCAAAGTATTAGTACTCGTACTTAAGTAGGAAATTTTAGTACTGTTTCCACCTCTGGTCATTAACTTGTAACTTGTAAGGGTTCATCTAAAACACATATGTCAGAGTCAAGGCCCGCGGAGCATTTTTATGTGGCCCACGAGATAAATATCAAAAATATATTAAAACTGGCCCGCTGGCCGATTTTACCGCAAAGACTTCAACTCCCATGATGCTTTGCGGCATCAGCGCGGAGCCGACGCATCCCCTCCTTTGTGTTTTTTCAGCGCCTGCTGCCAGTGTGCAGCTCCGCTGTCTCGGACAAACTAAACACTCCTCTCACTCAGCGCCGAGTTCACTCAGCTATTTTCTGACGTTGAAGCCCAGAAACGGAGATTCTAGCCGCTCAGTAATGTGTTCACGACTGAAAGAGAAAGTTTTCCAGCTAATGTCCAGACAGAGCTGATATAACTCCAGCGAGCAGCGACACTCTCAGACCAGCACGACTCTGTGGCTGTGTTTCCTCCCCGACACACAACAACGTGGTCAAGCTGCTCAGACATGTTCATCAGCACAAACCCATGTGAGCACCTGTTGTTATCTAATGTTGTCATTATTATGATGAAGATGAACAAAACAACAGGAGTCTCCTCCTCAGCCCAGATCAACCCCATGATGCAGGTATCTGGCTGGAACAGGTGAGCATCACAGTAAACCAGTGGAGCAAACTGAGCTTTAAATATGTTGTGTAGGAGCTAAAAGCAGTGTTTTGTGTACGTGCATGTTGACATGTTGCTCATCAATGCCAGCCGTTTATCAGGCAGCCCAGCTGCTGAGTACATGCTCCAAAAACATGTTGATCTGTCCAGCTTATGTAAGTTTCAACTACTTTTGACCATATTAGGATGTGGAAGTAGCACCCCATCATTTCTCAGAATCAAAAGGGAGGTGGGGGTTGAATAGTATAACTGATGCTGCGTGGTGTAGGAGAGTGGGCTTTTGCAGAAGGATCTCCAGCCGAGGTGTTTAGATCGAAGCTGGACGCTGTCCCCTGTGAAGTGTTGGTGATGTATGGATGAGTTGTGTAAATAAATGCCCCCCGCTGAGTTTGGACAAAACCTGTCTCTTTCTTGTTTTTGATAAGGAAAAAGAACCACAGTTGGTTTTATGCTCTTTTTCTGCTCCAAAACATGAAAGTTAACAGGTCAGATGTTGCATTTTCATTTAAGATAAAATGATATTTTTATTTTGTTGTTGGCCCGTGAGAAAAGATTTAACCTACAGTAAACAGGAAGTGGAAAGGCTGCAGATAGATGACTAGAATAGAAAATCCCTTTATTGTTCCTCAGTGGGGAAAGCTAGATGTCACAGCAGCGATGACACTTATTACAGGAGAAAAAAAGGAGAATAAAAAATAAGAAAAATGAATAAACAAGAAAACATAAATCCTGAATGGATTTATAAAATGCTGATTATACCACTAGTAATGAATACCACTGATGCCTTTCATTTAAAACTGACTTGCTCGTGTGTAATTTGGTTATTCCACATTCAGTGTTAATGCAGAAATATGTTTGTTTCCAAATTTAAAGGTTCAAAATTGAATTACTATGTTGATAAAGAAAATGTGCAAATTTGCCGTCACTTTTTCAAAAATATTAAGTTTGGCCCTCGACTCCGTCCCAGAGTTTCATTTCGGCCCCCTGTGAGTTTGAGTTTGACACCCCTGGTCTAAAATCAATGTTGTGTGCAGTTGTATATTTTATGAGGTAAATGGGACTCACCATGACGCCCGTCCTCCATAGAGCATAGGCATAGAAATGTAGACGCCACACCGGCCGCTACTGCCTATTGCAGCCGCATTTTCAGGGTCTACATACAATACATGGTTAACAGGATATTTTAAGGTTTTGGCTCCATGGTGATCTGGAGCTCGAACGGGAAGAGAATGTCTTTTATAAACCTGTTAACACACACACCAGAATGAGCATGCTCGCTTTAATGTTTGTCAGGCAAAATACGAGCGAGTGAGACTCGAGTGCCTTTACACCCAAGGTCCCTAATTGGATGGTCCTCTTGCAAAGTTTATAGTGAGCTTCGTATTGATTGCCGGGGACTGCCAGCTTTCACTGAACACACACTTTCCTATGTTTTCGGTGACAAGCAGAGGACTTGTTGAAGCTCTCGATTTACCAGTCGATCTACAGTAATCCAGTCTTCTTGCCCATAGGTTCCATGGAGATATTTGTTCCTTCTTTCTTCTAAACTCCGTCGGATTTGGCTAGTGGCCATCTAGCTCTATTGGGATTTAATTGGAGAAAGTAAAAACACGTTTTTTTCCCTGTACTTATTTACTTCCGGCAAATAAATTAATAATAATTTACTCACAGCAAATTGTACACACACACACACACACACACACACACACATATATATATATATATATATATATATATATATATATTAAGGGAGTGAAAATTTAACTGCTCATCTGAGTCTTTTGTTTCTTTTCAAGACTAAACGTTTAATGCATTATGAAACATGAAAGGTTGATGAGCACATTATTTAGTGCAAGGACTGTCTTCTGTTTGGTCATTTTTCAGGTTTCCCTCTTGACAAAGCAGTTGAATATGCTGAGCTCAGGAATCCACTGCTTATCAATGATCTCAACATGCAGTATTTCATTCAGGACAGGTAAGCTGGAGTAGACAACCCAAAATGTTTCAAGGAGTAAATTAGTCCTATATAATCCGTGCATCATTCGTTCTATTTTCAATTGAAAACAAAATCAAAATAGGAAAAACAAATTTGTATTTTTGTTTGTTTTTTTAAATGAATTCAAAATTAACAAAAAGTCGTGTTTTATTTTCTGTTTAAGTCTAAGATATAAATAATGAAATGGAAAAACGGCCACAGATTTTAAAATTTCATTTGTCAGGCTTGCGTGAACAGGTGTCGTAGCGATGTGAGTATCCCCGACAGACTGTGACCACGAGTCAGGAGCGTGCGCTGGGTAGGACACAGATTCACCCCACTGCACTGGATTCCAGCTAACTAGACGTTGAATTTAGATTATTATTTTGAAAAGTAACCGAAAGATCATCACCTCCACTCCACTCAACATGACACTAATGACCCTTGGCAAATCACCAAAAGTCGCGCGGAAGTATTTCTGGTTTAAGACAACATCAAAAATGTGTGTTTTATTGTTTTTCAGCAATTACATTTTTATAATTTAAAACACAAATAATTTCGCCAGAGCATGAGTAATTTTAATTTAGGGATTTCTATTTTTTAGAAATCAGAAATGTCCTTAATTTTTTTTGTTTTTGTTTTTGTTTGTAAATTAAAAATTCAAGTACCAAAAAGTACACGGGCCCATCAAGCAGAACTTTGGGACATGTTAAAGCAGGTAATAAAAACCTGCAGGATAGAGACTCTCGAGGTTTAGGATTGTTCTTCATTCTGGGTTTTTCTGGATAATGCTGACGTTGTTTTTTGACCACAAAATGGAAAAGAATTATCACATTATATCTAAAGGTTTTTCAGAATTTTTCATCTTGTAGCATTTATATCATAGTGGAGGCATTATTTTATTTTAAAGTCAAACATTTTCCTGCTAAATAAGAACTTAATTAGTCAAGATGTTTGAAACAGCTGTTGAAAAAGCTTTCTTTCTAATGTTAATCCACTGATAACACGCTTACAACCCTAGTCCATCTGTTCATAGAGGTTGTTCATGTACTGTATGTGATCTGACATCAGGAGGGAAGTGTACCGGATCCTTCAGGAAGAGGGCATCGACCTTCCTCGCTATGCTGTGTTGAACCGAGACCCTGACAATCCTGAAGGTGACACTTTCACTTTGTGGTGAAAAAAACTGCTTTTCTATTAAACATCATTTTAAGATACCACAGTCAACTTGTTGATAAGTCATCTAAAACCAAGTAACTCCCTAAACAGAGCCAAAAATATGTGTCCTCTCAGCAACAAGCCAATTCTCACTGTCTTCATTTAGAAGCTTACCTACATTTGTGTTGTCTTTTACAGTAGATATTTTTGGTCACTACAGAGTAATCAATGCACAATCCTGATTAATTGAATGATTTTCTACTCTGTGCAGACTGTAACCTGGTGGAGGGGGAGGACCATGTTGAGGTGAATGGAGAGGTGTTTCCTAAACCCTTTGTGGAGAAACCTGTGTGTGCTGAGGACCACAATGTATACATCTACTACCCAACATCTGCAGGAGGAGGCAGCCAGAGGCTGTTCAGAAAGGTGCATGCTCTCAAGCTGGGTTGAGCCTTTAAGAAAATCTCTTTGAATTATCATGAATAGTTATGAAACTAAACAAATTAGTAAAAGAACTGTGACAGCAGGCTGTTTGCTAAAACTCATTTAGCTTTTTTCCACTCAGACATGTTTTATTTACATTGTTGATTTAGTTTAACACTAGAACTCCCACTGGCTGTTATTCGCGTCATTAAATGCAGGCTGGTGATGGAGTCATGGAGAAAAACGTTTCTAGTGCACTATAAGTTAACTTCAGCCCTTTTTACAAGATTCACCATGCTGCCAAATTGGCGTTATATTACCGCAACGGTGTGCCTTTTAAACACACCATGCTGGCAAGGCGTAGCTCAAATATACATGTATTTTTTTGGGAGCCAGGCCTGGAGTTGGGACACAATGGCGAGCACCTGGTGGCCGGGCTTTTACCCATGCAGCTTGGCTGGGCATAGCCCAAAGAGGAGGCGTGTGTCCCCTTTCCCATGGGCTCACCACTTGTGGGAGGGGCCAAAAGTTTTGGGTGCATTGTGTGTCGGATGGTAGCCGAAAGCAGGGACCTTGGCGTTCTAACCTTCGGCTACAAAAGCTAGCTCTTGCGTGGAATGTCACCTCTCTGGCAAGGAAAAGAGCTGGAGTTCCTGTGTGAAGCTGAAAGGTTCCGGTAAGACATAGTCAGAAACCCTTCAATGCATAGCTCTGGCTTCAGAATCAGTCTCCGCGAGAGGGGTTAGTCTTTCTACCACTCAGGAGTTGCTCTCAAACTTTTCATTTTCTCATACCCATCTTTGTGCCTGTACATTGGGGTTTACCCCGACAAACAAGAAGAAGAAGAAGAAAATATCATTTCTATAGTGCCCCTCAAGATAAAAATTGCGAGGCGCTTCACAAAAACAAAAAATGTAGAAATATAAAAAAAATTTAGAAAATGGTTAAAAAAATATTTAAAATGAGCAAAAATAGGCAATTGTGATTTAAAAAATGTTAAGAAAGAGAGAGAGAGTGAATAGGAAAGAGGGAAATCAGTGGATCCTGAGGAAGGTGGAATAGGTGGCGAGAGCAGAATAAAGAGAGAGTGGTGAAGAAGATTATACTTACCATACAAGGCCAGCTTGAACAAGTGAGACTTCAGCTGCTTTTTGAAGGAGTCCACTGATCTCAGGCTCAGTGGGAGAGAGTTCCAGAGTCTGGGGGCCACAGCAGCAGATGATCTGTCATCTTAAATAGATGGATGGAAAAAGATATGATAATGTGAGATTGGTCTAGCAAGAATTTTTACATATCAAATTGTAAAACCAGTCAAAATGACTGCCTTGGGAATTCTAGAGTTAAAACCATTAAATGTGATCTATTATTTCTTTGCAACAGATTCACGACAAAGGACTCCATTGACTCCCTTTGAGACACCCATTGTTTTTTGTTCTGTTATTGTAGATAGGGAGTCGCAGCAGTGTGTACTCCCCAGAGAGCAGTGTGAGAAAAACGGGCTCCTACATCTACGAGGAGTTCATGCCCACAGATGGCACTGATGTGAAGGTACGGTGACTTTGGGAGAAGGTTCCAACCACACTAAACTGGTGTTGATGATGATCAAAATGGTGAATCGGGTGGTCAACACATAGTTAGGATCAGACTGATGGGTGGCAGTGGCGGTGGCGGTGGTGGGGAGCATGCAAGAATCCTTAGGAAGGATACTGAATCCTGAAAGTCAATTCAGAGAAGAACTACTCCAAGGGAATCAGTAGGTTATCAGTTTTTATTAATAAGCCTAGTTTATTCTTCTACATCAGCAAGTTTGCACTTACATGCAAACATTGATGAAGATGTTTTTCTTTTATATTTTTCCATTGGTGTGTCAGTGTTGTGAGGCAAATCTCCTGAACAGCAGTGGGCGTAGCGTTTTTCTGGGGTATTCTGTCATCAATGCAGTCTAGTGTGTTTATAATGTGTTTAAGTATTTCAGAGACATTTTATTATGGACAAATTTGTCTTCCACCTCTTCATCCTGTCACCACCTCTAAACTCACCTTTTCCGTAATGTCCTGACACAAACATAATGTTTGCTGTGTGTTTTTGTGCTCATCCAGCCACGGTTTTATTAACCTTCATATCGTCAAACCTTTTCCGTGAGACAGTGGGCTCCATGTCTATTGCTAGGTGTGGTTCAGGTCTTGCTTAATTTTTTTTCAGTGGGAATAGTGGTGCTGCTCACGAAGCTTAAGTAACCGGCGTCATGACCAATCACAGACTTGTGCTCTCCATAGTTTTCGACTGATATTTAGAAAAGTGGGCTCTCCTCAGTTCGTCTGCTCCATCTTGCGAGCCTGTTGGAGAGCCCTTGAGACAACGGATAATGACGTTGTGTGTCTACGCACCAACGCAGATGGAGAAGTATAAACTAGCTATTATATTAATTTCATTTTCTCAGGTCTACACTGTTGGTCCAGACTATGCCCATGCTGAGGCCAGAAAGTCTCCAGCACTGGATGGTAAGGTGGAGAGAGACAGTGAGGGGAAGGAGATCCGATATCCAGTCATGCTCACTGCTATGGAGAAACTGGTTGCCCGAAAAGTCTGCTTGGCCTTTAAGGTAAACAGCATCATCTTTTCTGTGTCAGGAAGATAAACATTCCTTTTAAAATGTTTTACTATATGGGTCTAAAATCTTGTCTTTGGCGTTTGTTACCTAGAAACCCACTGCAGGTGTCATCAGTTTACCGTCTTAGCGCCGCAAAGAGAGGCTAAAGTAAACCAACTACTGTTAGCACACCCCATTGCCCAGCCCTAATTATTAATATCTAAACTTAATACCTAAGCAACAAGGTAAGAACAACAAGCCCAGGTGTTTACATACACTGTAGAATGGGACACAATCATTGGTCTTCACTGTCTGACATTAAATCCACTTATCTGGTTGAAGAAAGGTTAAATAAATCAATCTAGACATTTTCTGTTTTAGCTCAGTTAGAGGACCTAGAGTTTCTTAGGTACGTTCTTGCTGTGTCTGATTTCTAATTCCGTTTTTTGGTTCTGCTTTAAAACACAGTTTTGTTCGCAGCTGCGAACTTCCTCAGAGCTGACGCTGATGGTGGCGTCACTTCCTACTCTGTCTTTCTGTAAACAGACTAGTACACCCAAAAGACAAAATACCTGCAGGACATAAATTTGGAGTTGTTTACGAAATCCCATGCAAACTCTGTAATAAAACATACATAGGAGAAACCGGACGCCAACTCAACACACGAACAACAGAACACAGAAATGAGTGCGAAAGAGAAACAAGTCAAAAACACACAAGAGCAGCAAAACAAGGTGCAGAAAGTACAATAAAGAAGTCAGCCGTAACAGATCACTGCACAAGAGAAAACCATGTAATGGACTGGGACAACACAAGGATCATAAACACCGAACAACAAAAATACAAAAGATGGTTAAAGGAAGCTACAGAGATAAGACGTGGATGTGGGACCATGAACAGAGACGATGGGGTCTACACATTGGATCGTGCATGTGACTGAATCATCGGAGAGGGGAGAGCGGGCAACAGAGGGCGACAACGTCCTCTGCTGCCCGCGGAAAAACGGAGTACGAAGTGAGACAACCATCACCGTGAGCTCTGAGGAAGTTTGCAGCAGCGACCAAAACTGTCAACAAGCAAGGCAAAAAGAAAGATTTTCTGTGTTTAAAAAAAAGAACCAAAAAACGGGACCTAGAGCTATTCCTGTTTGATACATTTCTGAATATTTCAGAATTTTGATTTCATTTTCTTATATAATTATTCATTAGTTCACATAACGCATTTCACACTGATTGGAAACCTTCCTGAGAATGTTTCATTGTTTTCATCAGTCACAACTGTACATAAAGTAAGATTACCATGTCTTTGAAGGGCAGGCTATGGGCATGTTATGCCTTTTATTTAAAGTTAATCCTGTGCCAGACCAAATCCAACAATTCAAAACCTAGGCCCAACTGCCATTCCCTTTTTAGAAACATCCGGTTTAGTCAGATAGTGTGACCTCAGTAGGGTATAAAACCTGCTCAGAACTCTCTTGAAAACTGTCACACTGTCGAAAATCTCATTAATAAGGGTCAGAGAGTGACACAGGTGAGAGGTAAAGTCAGAGTTACACATAACAAACTGTCTCAACTACAGGTACCTGAAAAACTGTGAGTGATAGATATTAACCCTCTCTAGTAGATCTATTGATACAGCACAGGCCAAAAGTTTGGACACACCTCATCATTCAATGTGTCTTCATCTTCATGACCATGACCATTTACAAAGGGACCAACAAGTTCGAAACACCTCTAGGAACTCCTTCATGACAGTTGGAAAACCATTTCAGGTGACTTCCTCTTGAAGCTCACCAAGAGTGTGTAAAGCAGTAATCAGAGCAAAGGGTGGCTATTCTGAAGAAAATTGAATAAAACATGTTTTCAGTTATTTCACATTTTTTTGGTTAAGTACATGACTCCTCATGTGTTCATTCATAGTTTTGATGCCTTCAGCGAGAATCTCCCAATGTAAATGGTCATGAAGATAAAGGCAACACATTGAAGAAGAAGAAGAAGAAGAGATCTTTTCCATTGCGCCTCTCAAGATAAAAATCACGAGGCGCTTCACAAAAACAAAAAATGTAAAAACATAAAAAAAGAATTTAGAAAATGATTAAAATTATGTTTCAAATGAGGAAAAAATAGACAACTATGATTAAAAATGTAAAGAAAGAGAGAGAGTGAATAGGAAGGAGGGAAATCAGTGGATCCTGAGGAAGGTGGAATAGGTGGGGAGAGCAGAATAAAGAGAGAGTGGTGAAGAAGGTCATACAAAAGCCAGCTTGAACAAGTGAGTCTTCAGCTGCTTTTTGAAGGAGACCACTGAGTCCACTGATCTCAGGCTCAGGGGGAGAGAGTTCCAGAGTCTGGGGGCCACAGCAGCAAATGATCTGTCACCTTTGGTCTTTAGCCTGGTGCTACACAACCAGTAGGCTTTGATCACTGGACCTCAGGGACCTGCTGGGGGTGTAGGGACTAAGAAGATCACCAATGTAGGATGGTGCTTGTCCATGTAAGGCCCTATAGACCAGAACCAGGATCTCGAAATGAACCCTGAAGTTGACTGGCAGCCAGTGAAGCTGGAGGAGAAGCGGGGTGATGTGGGTGTGTTTGGAGGAGTTGGTCAGAAGCCGAGCACAGGCATTCTGAACCACCTGTAGACGGTTCAGGGAGGTTCTGCTCAGACACGTGAAAAGAGAGGTTGAATGAGAAGGTGTGTCCAAACTTTTGCCCTGTGGTATATATATAATTTTTAAACTAATTAATTAATTAATTTATTTATTTATTTTTATATTTATATTAGCCTCTCAATACATACATACATATATATATATAATATAAAAGCTAAACAATGAAAAGGAGCTTCATATATGTATATTTAAATTAAATATTTCAAAATAACACAAAAAAATAAGGAGAAACATCTGTAAAAATGATGCATTTGACCATGGAAGCCTGATGATGTCATGATATGCAAATTAGATGAGTGAATTTTTTCCCAACACAAATTTTGGGTCCTACTGAAGATTTTTCTAGTCTACAGTTTACCTTCATCTCTGACCATTTCCAAGCTACAACCTTTTGAGCTAGTCATGTCAAAACTGAATCTTTTCTTGAAAGAACCCTGGCGCCCAAAGGGTTAAAAGCATCAGTCTAGTGCATTTAGAGACAAAACATTGAGTTACAGGCTGGTAAGAATGTATAATAAAGTATCTATAAATATGTGTTCATTATATGTTCATTGAGTTATAATGATATATTTTAACAATGTTATCCTGTCTTTAATCCATTTTGAACACTGACTCTGATGCGTTCATGCTGCTCAGTACCAGACCTGTATGATGTCATTAAAGATCGATTAATACACAGAGCTGAGCTGTGGGAGAAAATATTCAGGCTTATTTAATCTGACTTTCCATCACCTGTGGGTTTAGTGCATTCACCTAATATTAATAATAAAACTATAAATAACAGGTTGCTACAGTCTAGGCTAGAACGTGTTTCTAGGAACTAAAGCTTGTTGGCAGCAGCTCACCTGTTCCTGACAGGAGAAATCCTCTCATCAGCAGCAAGTGACTGAACTTGACTGAACACTGGCCTGAAAATAAATAAATAAATAAAACACCGGAAATTTCCCCAGTTGGGTCCTGGTTCTGCTCGCTGTCCCCATTAGACAGAAGCTGCTCATCACGCCAACTGTCATTGTGACACCAGAGCTGGCTCCATTAGCACTCATTAGTGCGACTAGATTCTACAAAGTTTTCACAAATAAATGTACAACTTAGATCTGTGGCTCGTGTACAAACCCATCCACTCCATCCGCGCCCCAGACTCTGCTGTGTTTTTTTAATTCAGTCTCTGAACATTATTTGGCTTTCACATCTGGGTCAACATGCACCGACCCTGATAGGTTAACTGTGTTCACATCTGAGCAATTTGCATTTTCCGTGCTCAGCTGCCAGTTTTTTTGGACCTGCTCTTCGGCGCTCCATTTCATACGAAGCCGACCCCACACACCCACTACTGATTATACCTATAGAGGGAGCCTCTGATTGGCGGATTGAATCAGTCAGCATCCTTCATGCGCAATTTATTATCAGTCTAGATGCGGTGGAGTAAACATCTCTGAATGCTGCCCGGAATTAGCTGCGGGATATTGAGGACAAACTGATGTCCTAATCTTTATGTCAGAGTCTCCAAAATCAACACTGCTCACAGCTGCCTTTGTTTACTAACCTAAGGAAAACACCACGGACTTATCTGCACATCTGTTGCCCTGCGCATATGCTTGGTGACATCCACTTTCTGAGAAAGCTATATGAACTAATCCTGGCCGTATGAAGGCGGGCTGATGCTTCCAAGATCAGACCGGGCCAGGTCAGGTTTGAAGATGCCATAAGAGGCAGCTTGACTTTGTATTCCCTCGAGGTCAGTCTTTTGGGAGTGGCAGACTGATGAGAAGACAGTGGGACTGAAGCTGCTGTTGGCTAGTTTGGTGACAGCCCTTGTGGAGTCTCCACCATGGCATCCAGTGACCTGTAGCGTTGGAGAAGGCCATCAAGGTCAACAATCTGCCCTACCAGTGGGCAGAGGTCATCAGACATGGGAATATCCAGCGGTTTCTTCTGCCAGGAATGCTGTGTGCTTCCTTCATACCAAAACATTCTCCTGTTTATATCCTTCCTGGCTTACCATCTGGACAATTTGTCCAAAAAACCTCTCATGTTGACACGGAGCTGCAAATCACAAGGTCTCTTCACAAAAATGGGACTCTTTATACTTTAATAAAGAATCTTAATTGGTCTCTTAAATGATTTCCTAACTTAACAAGTTATTTACAATCACATTCTGTTTTATCTACAATGAAAGTTTCATCTAAAGTGATTTAATAATGCCTTGACTGCCTTACAGTAATGAATGAATCAACATAAAGGTATATTTTTTTCATGACTTATTTCAGATCTTAAATTCACCAAATGAGTCTACTTGATGATTTAATAATGATTTATTCACTAATAATGACTTATTCTCATATTAAGTGAAACACGTTTTTCATATCTTAGAAAGGGGAGGTTAGAGGGTTCCTTGATAACGTCCAGGCTTACATAACATCAGTTTATACCCTACATAAATGTATTGGCTCTTTTATATTAGGAACCACAAGCTGTTTTTGTGATTATCTTACTTCTTAGTTTTTCTCATTTATTTATTTTTTTTCCTTTGATTGTGCTTTGTGCAATTTTGTGGCCAAATAAATAAATTACACATGAATTAAAATCGTCTTAAATAGTCAAGATCTTAGTTTCAGTCTAAATAATCATGATTATCATCTTTGCCATAATGGAGCAGCACAGAGGGAGAGACTTCCTACAGGGACAAGGTGGAGTCAATAATCTGCTTCTCAACACCACAAAAATGAAGAGCTTGTTCTTGATTGCAGGAAAAACAAACCTGAAGTACAACCACTCATCACTGGGGGGGCAGTGTGCAGAGGGTCTCAGTGTTTCTGGGCATTGTGGTGGAAGATTTCCTGCCTTGGAGTGCAAACCCCAACAAACAGTTGAAGAACGCGCAGCAAAGATAGTATTTTCTGAGAATCCTAAAAAAGAACCACCTTCCCACAAATCGCTAGCTTGTCTTCTACCATTGTTTCATCGGGAGTACACTGACATATAGACTTTGAGTGGTGTGGCAGCTGGACTAGCATTTACGTCTCCTGTTGCTGTACTAGAGGAACAGACATCTCTCTGGATCCATCACACCCTGGGCAGTGTCTTTTCCAAACCTTGTTATCGGGAAGAAGATAAAGAGTCATGAAAGTGAGGACGAACCGTCTCAGGAACAGCATCTGCCCAGGAGCAATCATGGCTCTCAACCAACCAAGAGGGACCTATTGACCACGAGTCAACTGCACAGAACTTATATTTTTATTTAATCTGTGCAGTCTGTATATAGCTGCAGACTTTTTTCTGGTTTTATCTCTTTTATATCATCGCTTTTATGCTTGTGAGTCTACTGCATCTTCAGTCTTGTTGTACCTGGAAACAGTGACAATGTGATGGCTGAGTGCAATGTAGAGCTGGCAATTGTCAGCATAAAGGTGGTAGTTAATCTGGTGCTTAGTCTGAGTCCTCCCCAGATGAAGATCAAGGAGCAGTGGCAAAATATGGGCGCCAGAGTAGGTAGCAACCTCTAAACCCCTGCCTCTTTGTTTTAATATACGTGCTGTTGTGTTAAATCCAAAGTGAGTGACTTTACCACAAGGGCCCCTCTCTCTCTCTCTCTCCTCTGTGAGTAAAAGAAGCATGACGTTTTGGGCCAGACCGACTCAGTCAGGACCTGCAGCTGACTGCAGCTCCGACCCGGACAGGGCCAAAAACCAACATAATCTTGTGCATGTTCTCATGTTATGTTATGTTTTTTTTTTCATCTAGCAAACAGTGTGTGGATTTGATCTGCTCAGAGCCAATGGCCACTCCTACGTCTGTGATGTGAATGGCTTCAGCTTTGTGAAAAACTCAATGAAATACTACGATGATTGTGCCAAAGTCCTGGGGTAGGTTATCCACATAGAACTGTTGGTTATCATTTAGACTATGGTTGGTTTATACATGTACTAAACCTGAATACCCCGACCAAACGTAGTTCACAGACACAACTCACAAAGTGCTTCATAAACAAAAAACAAACAAAATGAACAATGGAGTTACAATAAAACACTCAAAACTTAAAGTACAAAACTGCCGTTGAGTAGAAGATTAAAAGTGGCAGGTGACTAGTGGTGGGGAGGGTTTATGCAAAAAAGGCCAAAACTAGATCTATGGAAATAAAAGGTGAAAGGTCACCAGCAGGAGGAGAGTGAAGGTGGCCAGAAGGGAAAACACTGTTAACAGCCTTGTACATTTTCTTGATTTTCCCACAGAAATCGTTGGTTGTTACGATAAATATTTCAGTTAAATACAGCGGGTACAGAAAGTATTCATACCCCAGTCAATTTTGCACCCTTTGTTATATCGCAGCCATTTGCTAAAATCAATTTAATTAATTTTTTCATCATCATCATTTATGTACACAATGTGCAAAGACTTTGTTAGGACGTCCTACAGACGGGTTCTGGACCAACAAACTCAATATAGACATGATCTGCACATCCATGCAACGTTGACTGTTTGCAGGGAAACATTAATGACCTTTGTCAACCCAAGAACTGCTCAATAGGACCTTCAGGCTTCACTTTAATTTACTATTCACTTGAGTCATTAGAGGACAAAACGTCCGCTTGTAAAAGTGGCTATAAAAAATTCATATTTTTCTTGCTTTTTTTTCATCGATCTGTTGAACAACTTCAGCCCTGCTCAAACATATAAAAATCATTTTGAGGCTTACAACCCTTTAAATGCCAGTGTGATAAATCAAAGTCATGTCTGTAATTTATGAAAAATAAATAAATAAATAAATAAATAAAAACCACTACAAATTAGTTATTTAAAAAAACTACTTTGTCTTCCTGGGGCATTCAGTATAAATCAGGCTTGGTTATGTTATGAAATACCGGTATCTAAAGAATAAAACATTTAGCATGAATAGTTTTTGTGTAGCAACAGATTGATCTTAACAGACAAAAATGTCCCATTGACTTCCATTCAAACCACAGTTTTTGAGCTTTTAACATCTGCAGCAAATAATGATTTATGTGATATTAGGGTTTGTTTTTGGAAAAAAGTAGTCAAATGATGATTTCTACTGTTCACCACCAAATTCAGTCATTTCTCCATATGTGCCCCAAACAAGGAAGTTTACACATTTCTTTAGATCTTCTGCTGTTTGTAATGAATTCGAAAGGTCAAACTGACCTCTGATATGTAGATAAAACACAGTTTGACTCTTACTGAACTGCAAAGAGTAGAAAACAAGCCCATGTTGCAAAAATGAAAATGCGCCAATTATAGTTTTAGGAGAAAAGCTTCACTAAAGACTACAAAATTCAAATGAACATGCATTCAACCACAGGCGAGTCTAATGATTCATTAAGAGGTTTCCAGCAGACAGGTGACTATAAAAGGACATTACCTAACAAAGAAAAGCTCTTCCCATTTCATGCTGTCAGCAACGGCTCCACGTGGAAGAGAAATGTCACAGTATCTGAGAAAGGAAATAATTTCTTAACACAAAAAGGTGAGGGCTTCAAAAAGATCAGCAAATCTTTACACATCGGTCACAATACTGTAGCAAAAGTGATCCAAACATTTCAGAAAATGGAAGTGCAACCATCTTACAGAGCAAGTAAGTACATTTTTTTTCTATCCCACTTATCACAGACATAGAATCACAAAGTGCTTCACATGGATCAAAACAAAATAAAGCTAAGTCAGAAAATCATAATGATCTCAAAACAGAAACTGATTCACATCAAAAAAAATAAAGTCATAAAATTATTAAATTTCACAAACAGATGAAAGATTAAACTTTTGAGTTAAAAATAAGAAAATAAAAGGTTTAGGTAAAAGCAGATTTAAATAAAAGGGTCTTCAGCTGTTTTTTAAAAGTGTCCAGACTCATTCAAAGTCAGGGTGCAACAGTCTGGAAGGAGCGATCACCCGACTTTTATATCTGGTCTTTGGAACATCTAGAAGGTTCTGGTGTGTGGACCTGCGGGCCCGGATTGGATTATAAGGATTTAACAGTTCAGTAATATAGGAAGGAGCTTGACCATGTAGAGCCCTGAAAGTTCTAGTCAGGATTCTAGAATGAACTCTAAAGTTAACGGGTAACCAGTGCAGAGACATCAAAACAGGAGTGATGGAAGCTCTTCTGTTTGCGCCAGTTAGGAGCCTCGCTGCAGAGTTCTGGACCAACTGAAGGAGGTCAAGGACCATTTTGTTAAAACATGTGAAGAGTGTGTTACAGTAATCTAGATGGGAGGAGATAAAGGAATGGAGAACCATTTCAAGTTCATGTTTTAACACCAACCTTTGCAGTTTGGAGATATTTCTAAAGTGATAAAAACAGTTTTGGACCAATGTTTTGAGTGGCCTTCAAGAGACATTGATTAGTCAAGAACATCCAAATTCCTTAAGTCCGTCTTGACGGCAGAGGGTAAATGACCAAGTTGTTGACTAATCAGGGGAACCATGCTCTCAGGGGCAATGATCAGAAATTCAGTCTTTTCAGAGTTTAACTGGAGGAAGTTATCTTCTAGCCAGCTGGTGATCCCTGATAGACTCTAGTAATTCAGATAGTTTGTAGAACTCAGAATCCTTAAAGCAACAGTACAGCTGAATGTCATCTGCATATAGGAGATGAGACATTATTAAAAGAACCAACTATCTGTCCAAGAGGGTGTATGTACAGTAGAAACAACAGTGGACCCAATACAGAGATGTCCAGGTAGTCCACAGAAGTTAACATCTTGACAGGAGAATCTTCTGATGACAAGAAAATCACCATGCAAGTTCACTGCAGTTAGCTAAAGCAGTAGAAAGCCAAACTGGAGGGACTGTTTCCTGTGACATACGGCACACACTACAGAGGAATGGGATGCATGGGTATCGTCCAAGAAGAAAGCCTCTCCTAAAGCCCATGCACAAAAAAGTTCACCTAGGATTTGCTAGGGTCCATGCTGAAAGAGATGAGGACTACTGGGACTCTAGACTCTGGAGTGATGAGACAAAGATCTCTGTTTTTGGAAGTAATGGTTTCAAAACTGTATGGCATTGTAAAGGTGAGGATCTCAAAGAGAAATCCATGGTGCCTACAGTGAAGCATGGTGGTGACGGTGCCCTTATGTGGGGCTGCATGAGTGCTGCTGGTGTTAGTGAGCTGCATTTCATTGATGGTATCATGGACTCAACAATGTCCTGCTCTATACTGAAGGAGAAGATGCTGCTATCACTCAGTGCACATGGTCATTGTGCACTTTTCCAACACCACAACGATCCAGAACACACATCTAAAGCTACTGTTGCATTTCTGAAGAAAAACAGGGTGAAGGTGATTGAATGGTCAAGTATGTCTCCTGATCTGAACCCAGTCAAACACCTGTGGGGAATTCTGAAGCAGCAAGTTTAGCATCACTCTCCATCCAGCATCCAGGCTTTAAAAGAGATGGACCCTTCTCTCCAGAACCCCTGAATAGACTTTACCAGGGAGGCTCAGGAGTGTGATCCCCCTGGAGTTGGAATGCATCCTGCAGACCCCCTTTTATAAATAGGACAACCACTCCGGTCTGCCAGTCCAGTGGAACTTCCCCAATGTCCACACGATATTGCAGAGGCTCGTCAACCAACACAACTCTACAACATCTAGAGCCTTATGGAAATCTGGACAGATCTCACCCACCCCTGGATCCTTGCCACCAAAGAGCTTTTTGACCACCTCAGTGACCTCAGCACCAGAGATTAGAGAGTCCAACCCAAAGTTCCCGGACTCTCTTCCTCATTGGAAGACATGCCGGTGGGGTTGAGGAGGTCTTCGAAGTACCCTGCCCACGATCCACAACATCCTGAGTATAGGTCAACAGCACACCATCCCCACTTTAAACAGTGTTGGTAGCACACTGCTTTCACCTCCTGAGGCGCCGGATGGTGGACCAGAATCTCCTAAAAGCCATACGGATGTCTTGCTTCATAGTCTCACCAAACTCCTCCCATGCCCGGGTTTTTACCTCCACAACCGCCTGAGCCGCATTGCCCTTGGTCTGCCAGTACCCATCAGCTAACTCTGAAGTCCCACAGACCAAAAAGTCCCGATAGGAGTCTTTCTTCAGCTTGAAGGCATCTCTAAACATTGGTGTCTGCCAGCGGGTTTGGTAGTGGTCAGTTGACAACTCCGCCTCTCTCTCCATCCATGTGTCCAAGACATGCAGCCGCAGATCATATTAAACAACATCAAAGTTGATCATTGAGCTGCAACCTAAAGTATCCTGGTGCCAAGAGCACAGATGGAGAGTAAAACTTTAAAGGCTGGGGCACACCACAGACAGACGTGCCGGCACCGCGCTGGTGCCATACCACCATTTTACTTAGAAGCCATTAATGGTTCATGAGAGTGGCTGCACAGGGAGCACCATGCCAAGGAGCTGTAGATAGGTGCCAGTTCTATTCCAAGGGGGGAAGAATGGAGATTTAACACCACTCCACTAAAGAATAACAATTTCCTAAAAGGAATCTGGGCACAATTAATTTTAATTAATTTCATTTATATAGTGCCAAATCACGGCAAGGGTCGTCTCAAGGCCAAGTAAATATTCCAATAGAGTTCAGTTAATTATGCCAATCGGTAAAAAAGTTTTTTTTAGAAGGAACCCTGCAGATTGCATTTAGTGATCAGAAGAATTCCATTGTCTAAATATTAAAAGTATTGAAGATACAACATGAACTTGGGTGTGAGTTAATCTGTTTTCAACATCATGGCTTTCTTCTGCTTTCATTAGAAACATGGTAATGAGGGAATTAGCCCCCCAGCTTCACATCCCCTGGTCAATCCCCATGGAGGCTGAAGACATCCCCATCGTCCCAACAACCTCAGGAACCATGTAAGAACCCCTGCTAAAGAATGACTGTACATCTGAATTCCTTTCTTTAAATTTTGTTCACCATAACTGTGATGATTTACCATGCTGTGCATGTTTCAAGGCAAAATTATATTTTAGGCTTGAATAAATCTTGTTTTTAAAGGAGATCAATAATCCAGTTAGTCATCTATCTAAGACTGATCTGAAAAATACTTTTTACCCCTCCCACTCGGCCTGGACATGAACATGATAATGAGCTTCTTGCTGATTGGTTGGCTCCCCAGAAGGCCTCCTCAGTCCGCACCTCGACGCTATGGTTACAGCAGCCGTGTTTAGCGTTAGCAGCTAGTACCTTCCTAACCTGTTAATAAATTATAAATGGCCTATATTTGATATAGAGCCTTCTAGAGTCCTGGAACTCCCAGATTTTTTTTTTTAGCAGTGGATGAACAACAGCCTTCTTCAGAGAAGCTGGAACCACACCAGAACTACGACTACTTTTTAGTATAACTTCAAAAGATTTTGACATTTGTCAAAGCTCTTCTTATCAACAGTACCTAAGGTAAATTCAAGTGTATATATTGATTTTCAGCCTGATCCAACAATAGGGGGGTGCTATAAATAGGAAGAATGTATACTGTCAAAATGGCTTTATGGATCTGCATGAAACTTTGTGGATGTCTTCATTATCCAGCCTTAAGAAAATAATATCAATATAGCGATGATTGGTCAAAGTGGGCATGGTTTATTATTGTGTAAAATGAAAAAATAAAAAAAAATTCCAAAAAATACTTTTTTGCATGTAGGAGGCTATGGTTCTCAGGTTGTGTTAACTACATTGTAATGAGACGGTATAACCAAAATCGCAGCTCCGTGTAGAAGTTTGCTTTTTCTATATAAAATGTCCTGATTTGGGCACCCCCTTGTGTTTAATGTCAGGACTAATTTTGATTGAAAGCCACACATACAAATGTTATCTTACTTTGAGATAAGTTTTACATATTTCATCCTTTGAAAAAGTATAGGCAGATGTCACACATCGTAAAGGTAATCTAGGAATTTTTTTTATTTGGGACTTGTGTAAGAAAGCAAAGATTTTTAATGAACTTTTTAATTTATGTAAATTTTTCAATATTATTGAAAAAAAGTAAAAACCTTTTGGTAGAAAGTTCTTTAGATATAGAGTCACTAAAATAAATAAAGCATATAACATTCCTCATGTACCTATGCTGATTAGATAATTTTCTACTAATTTTATAATATAGGATTATTTTTCTATGAATATTTAAATTTTGGGTGTAACCATTAGCATGATATTTACCAATTTCTCTTGAAAAAAGCTTTGGATTTAATGATACAAAAACAACAGCATTTTTTTCCATCTGTTGACATTGCCATGTGAGAATATATTGGTGACTTTGAGATTGTTTCTGGATTTTTTAGGATTGTTCAAAAATAATTTGATCAGTAAGTCATACAATGAAAGTTTTTTACTGAAATAGCATTGAATCTAGAGAAATATTAATATTATTAATATTGTACCCAATGTAATATTGATGACCAGTAAATTGCTTTTAATCTTTATATCAAATTAGGGTTTTTATAATACTTTTTTTGTGTTTCAATCAGTGTAATTTGAAAATTCAATATTTATTTTTTTACTGAACACATTTAAAGGGGCATTATGGAAGTTTGACAGCCAAAACATGTATAGAAATAATAAATTTCTTCTTCATACATTCTCCTGCAATGCCCTGGTCCTGTAGAGTGAGCCCTGGCATTTTTACTGTGATTGCCTATTTTTCTGTAAAATCACAGAAAAAGAGAGCTGCTCGGGTCGAGCAGACTGCTTCATGCGCGTTCACGCTCAGGCATCGCCCTCCAAACCGTTCTTTGAACATTGTTTCAGCTGTCATCAAGAATATAAATGTTACAGATACAGAAGACGTCACTGATGTTTTAGCTCATCTGATAAGACTGCGGGCTTTCGTGCAGAAGACCTGGGTTCGATTCTGGATATGACATAGTTGCTTTAGAGTTTCTTTTTTACACTAATGAAATATTTTTTTTACAGTAAGATGCCCAAATTTTTATTTGAGACTCGCCAAACGGCATTGAATTCACATGTGAAAAAGATGTGGGTTCAACTTTCATTTTGGAACAATTTTTCAAGCAAGGGAAGGGAATTATCTGAGCATGCAGAAGGACTGACCCATCTTAAACCTTTGCCGGCTGTGCTGAAGAGAAAGGTACAGAACCAAATTATTTAATTAATTAGCTGTGCATTCTTCCCCCCCCCCCCCCCCCCCCACACACACACACACACACGGGACTGTCTCAGCTGTTATTTTCGTTAAGGAGTGTGCATGTACAGCATGCGCGCCTCATGCACGAGCCTCCTATTGAAGCTGCCATTACGCATTTGGCCTGAGGGGGCAATCGCGAGCATAAAAATTCAAAACTCCGTAAAGTCCCTTTAATTTAGAACCAATAAAATTACAAAATATGATTTGACATGACTTCATAATGATCCAACAATACTTAGGAAATGTGCTGGTAGTTGGACAACAGCTTGGGTTTCAGAATCTAAAACTTTTATTTAACAGAACATCGCAGACAAGTAGAAAAATTGCAACAAAGCTCAGAAAAACAAATTCATACCCACCAACATACAGGGGCCGCTGTTGCAAAAGAAGATGCATTTTGGCTGATAACTGTCAGTCCATAGGCCTAACCCCCTAAATCGTAACAGTTCTTTTAATGTTGGAAAAATTTCTATCACTTGATCAAGGTCGCACACATTTATGCTTAGCTAGATTTTTTTTTATATCGCAATTTTTTTGTGATCACTCCATAATTTTTTGCAGAATCAATTTGAGACTTGGAATACATGACCTGTGGACATAGATAACTAAATGTGATTTAAAAAAATTACAGAAATATTAAAAATTTTGCAATTGACACAACGCCAACATCTTTGTGCAAGCTAGCACATGACTTGACTGACTAAAGATTAAATGATGGAACTGGATTGTAAACGGGATTGAGATGTTAGCCATGCTTATCTACTTAATGAAACATTTACATATAAGGGGTGCAAAAAGGTCAAAAGGTTTTCCTGAATGTTTATTTCATAGTGCCGGTTGAAGTGAGATTACAGGACGCTGGCAGGAGAATGTGTGGGAGTGGCAGGGCCACGTGAGGAATGGCGAGAGCAGGGTGGCAGACTTGCACTAGTTGGCTTGGAACCCATTGATAACTGCTTGCAGTTCTAGTAATTATGTATTATTCTGCTCCACTAAAGTGGGCACAAGAGTCAGAAAACATAAGGAAAAATCTAAGAAGGCAGTCTGATGGAAAATCTCTACTGCTACTCAGATTCAAAAATTCATCCTCAGAAACACCTAGTTGGCGCTTTTGCAACGGTCAATGTGTTTTAGCTAATACCATCCAAACTGTGAGTTGCATACTCAAAAAATGTACATGTGCTTGATCCATTAATGATTTAGCATACGTTTGTTCTTGGCCACGCTCATTTCCCCAACTATATTTTTTACTAGATCAAAAAAAAATGCAAAACCTAGTTGAAATCACCTGTAAAGGATGGGTAGTTTACATCTTACTCATGAACCATAAAATGTGAGATTCCATAGAAATATGAAATATCAATCTGATGGATCTTTGAATATTTTAACCAGAAGATCAGAACTTTTTATTGCAGGGATTATGTTCGTGTTAACTCCAAGGAGAGAGAGAGAGAGAGTCAGGTTTAAAATATTTAAGAAATTTATTTCTACACAATTTAAACAAGACTAACTTTAACACACTGTATACTGATGGAGCTAAAATGGAGTGAGACGTGATGAATGATGGTGTGTAGGTGGAATGTTATTATCAGAACCAATGGATCTGGAGAAGCATTTAGTTCTGAGTGGGAGTGAATGTTTCGCTCTAAACTTTAGTAGGAGATTTATAACACACATGAAATGCCATCTGTCGGTCTACATACCCCAGGGGAATCCTCCGATTAGATCCAGAATGCCAAGGTCCTCTTGGACCCTCCTTGGAACCGAAGCCAGTAGAAAAGCAGCGGTGCCGTCCAAACTAGTCTTGGAAAGCTTCCAGGTCACGACAGGTTCATTGGCGTCAGCGAGACCCTGAAGGGGTCGTGAGGTTCAGCTTTTATTCTGAAGGAACCGTTGCGGTCAGGTATAACTTGCAACAGATTTTATCCAGCTTGTCGAGGTTCTTTATGGCTGAAGAGGAAGTCCGGATGGCCTGTCCGAGACTTCTCTAGAATGCTTTGAACTAAAGAAAAGGTGGCGTGGAATAGTTTTTATAATTGTCATATTTTGGTTTACTGGTGAGTTAGAATTTGACATGCAAAAGAGGGTTTGTACAAACACCACAGGAAACCACGCCTAGCGCCAGAAACAAAGGTTCTGATTGGATCAGACAAAAGGAAATGTGTCCTGTGGCTTTAGCATTACGTGTCATCAGTGTCTAGTGCAAATGTCCAGGATTATAATAACTTGTAAAGTACTACTGATCACAGGATTATAATATCAAGTAATAACATTGTCATTCCACAGATTGATTGAACATTGGGCTCACATTATTATTGGTAATAACAAAGTTGTTGATTATGTGTTTATCAAAAGAGTTCTTCGTTTTCATCTTGAGCTGTAACAGAGGTGAAGCAGTTCAGATGAGCAAAGTGCATGAAAGACCTTGGCCATTATCTCATGTAGATTAGGCTGTCAGAGACTTTATGTCTCTGCTCGAGCAGACGCAGCAGATCATCATATCAAATCAAATCAAAGATACTTTATTAACCCCAGAGGGAAATTAAAGTTTCAGTACACACAATTCAGAGATCAGACATACATGGGCAAGACACATGACAAGAATTGGTGGCTGAGGTCATTCGCAACCCTGAGTCGCGCTACCTTAAAAGAGATAAGAGGGTTACATTAGGATTGGTTTAGGTGGAGGTAAAAAAAGGCACTTCAGAGTTACCCTCCACCGGGCCAACTAGAAACCTGAGCCATATGATCTATAGATGAAGATAGGCAATAGTGATGAAGAACATTGCAGAAATATTGAAAAGTGTGCTAATAACACAATGTCAAAATCTGTGCGCTAGCTAGGATATGACCTAATATAACCCATTTTTCATGTATACATGATGAGACTCTGGTGCCTCATAAAGTATTAGCTTTAGGCCATATGTATCCAAATTTGTTCTGATTCACCTTTAGGGGGCACTAAAGGATTAAACTGTTTGTTTCAGCATAACGGCTTGATGGATTTCCACAAAACTTGGCACAGATGTTCATTACTGCATTTATAACTGGGTGTGGCTTATCAGTGTCTGAATGTATGAATGATACACTGTAGTGTAAAACGCTTTGGAGTTCGCTGACTCTAAACGGTGTTATACAAGTGCGGGTCATTTATGATTATAGGCTTACAAACGTTTTGGCCTTTTCCTCATGAAAAATTCCTAATCTATCCAGACACGTACAGATCATATCCATTATAGTGTCGTCTATAACCACAAAAAATATATAGAATTTTCTCCTCTAGGTGGCGCTGTTTTATACCCAAAAATGTTTTTGGCAGTTTTCGAATGAGGATATGCTCTGGCTCGCTTGGGACTCATTGATAACTGCTTGCAGTTCTAGTAAAATTTTTGTTTGTAAGACAGTACTGTAAGTGTTAGGTGAAAACAGTGGACGAGATGTAGAGGACTCTTGATTTGGATTCTCGTGAAGTTGTGGAAGATTCTGGGTTTGGGTTCCTGTGGTGTCAGGGAACTGGAGGGTTTGAGGTGGAGGGTTGGCCGTGAAGGAGCTCACCTCCTGAGCCAGGGCAGGTGGTCCGGCGGAGTGTCAACGCACAGCACCCTTCAGTATTCTGCATTGGGCACTGGAGGTTAAGGTCTGGGGGGAAGAGATCGTGGAGGTTGCTTCTTCCGGACTACAGGCTCCTGCTGGATGTCATCAGATAGTTGAGAGGGAAGGGGAGGCCTGGAGGTAGCAGCTGGTTATTCCTCAGCAAGTGGAGAGCAGCGATTTGAAAGACTATGGTCAGATGGGGGGTGGGAGCAACAACAGGGGCTCTCCTACGGTCACATACCACAACCTCTAACCAAGATGAAAATGGGTCAGGAGTAGAGCTGGAAGTTGGTAGTCGTGGTGCCAAGAGATCCCAGGCAATGGTGGCTTGGAGCAGAGAGTTCTGCATGGATGTTTCTTTTTCAAACTGACTGCCTTGGTCAGTGAAGGGAGACGAGTTCTAAAACTATCCAGCGGCATTCCTTATTTTGCAGTTCAGCATCCTCTTTAAGGTTCTGAATCATCACATTTGCTTTAGAAAGCATAACTCTGTCATTGTGGGGTAGACTGAGCGGGAGGACAGATATTCAAAATAGCTTTGACGTTGCGTAAAGCTCACACTTTAGCTGAGCTGCCTCTGTCGGATCCAAAAGTTTTGTAGTCCAAGGTCCAAGGAGTCAGAGTATCCAAAAAAATCATAGGAAACAAAGATTTAACAAAATTAACAGAATCCAGAGATTGGTGACAGGAAGATTTTGGAGAAATCTTTGAGCACAATAGTATAGATCTGAAGTACATAAGTCTGCAGGCTTCTTATCTGATCAATGGCTGTGTTTTACTGGTGTACAGTGGTTTGTTTGTCCTTTCGGGTATGTGAAAGCTCTTTATTCATTATGTTGAACTTGAATTTGGACTTAAGTCTGATCTGAGATGGCATTGATAATTAAGATAGGTTGGCAAAATGTACTATTTTACAGAGAATTAGTGTATTTATTTTAGAGCTTTCCTTTAATTATTTACTTAAGTTATTTACTTAAGTTATTCCTTTAGGCGATTTACTTTAGGTTTTTCCTTTGATTGTTAACTTAAATAACTTTGGTTATATTCTTTGTTTCTTTACTTTGGGTAATAAGCATGGTTATTTATTTTAATTTCTGTTCTTTTGCCCTCGAGGATGGAGCTGCGCTGCGTCATTGCCATCATCCGCCATGGAGATCGAACACCAAAGCAAAAGATGAAAATGGAGGTCCGACATCCCCTGTAAGTCCTTCCTTCTCTTAATACAACAGGTTAGCTACAGTTTGTTGTCAAACCCCTCAATAAGATCATTCTCCAGGTATTCTCTTAAACAATGCTAATGAGAAAGGATTTCATGTACAGGTCAGAAGCTTAGGAACTCATATAATAATGTTAAGTAATGTTTACTTATTTATTACATAGCGCTTATCACAAAAAGAAAAATCACAAAGATTGAGATCACAAAATGTCATAATGGCTTGTGGCCTTCCAAATGCAAAATGACTATCATTAGTGCCAGCCTCTTACCACCATGGAAGACACCTTCTGCAGATCCACACATCTCCTTTTTATGGATACAAAGTCATCAGTGAGGTCATTTGATGCTGTACTGCTTTTGAGCTGATGTTAGCTCAGACAGTCAGACTGTATGGATGTTTTCCTACATATTATTTATGTATACACCAATATTACTATTGATAGCATGGATTGAACGGCTATGAACCTGACAATATAGACAAAAGTAAAGTTTATGCATTTAATAAATCATAAGCAGGGCTGTTGTAAAATTTAATCTCCAGTCCATATCCAGACAGATTTATCTTCTTTTGTCTCATAATTAGCAGCATCTGGGATGTTTATGCCCACGTTATGCCCACGTTTTTTTTTTCCAACAACATGCCCACTTTCAAGTGAGGAATCATTAGGAAAATGCTGTGGTACTTGGTGCAAAAAGGAAAGATGAAATTAGAGATAACCAAACAGAGGAAGTAAGAATAATCATGGTAAAATAATAATATGATTAGCGAAATGGCTGCTAAATACAAGACAGTGTATGCACTGATCAGAGCGGAACAGTTCAGATACAAACACAACACGTGGTCATGTGACTGAAGCTAAGCAACCGGAGTGGGCGGTCCTAGGATTGTCATGACTTCAACTGCAGAGGGGAAGAAACTGTTCTTGTGGCGAGAGGTTCTGGGGTGGGGTGCTTCCTAAAGTCCACAACAACCTCTGCTGTCTTCTGGGTGTTCTTGCTGCTTCCTGTCTGTCAGAATGTGTCATGTTCTGTGTCCTTGTAGTCCCCAGCTCCCTCCTGGCTTCCCTCATGTTTCCCCCTAGTCACTTTGAACTTAGCTATCCCATCCCATTTAGTTTAGTATCCCCATAGATTTAGTGTTCTGTTGTATAGTTTCAGGTTTATTAGTTCTCTTATCCTTAGTTCTCTGAATAGTTAGATTATCTAGTCAGTTTTAGGGTTGTCACGGTAACCTGTGTAGCGGTAAACCCCGGTAAAAAAGTTGACAATAATAATAACCATCTTGTTTTAAAAAAAAATATTACCTCGGTGGATTACCGTGGCTGCGGTGTAGGCACGTTGACCCCTACCAGCCACCGTATCATCTGCTGAAGTTGCCGGCGGCACATGCGCACTTTGTTGTTTACAACCAAAACTTTCTTGAACCTAAAGCTGAAATAATGGCCAAAGGAGGAGACGGCAACGCTCAGGACATTTATTATCCCTCAAAGAAGACAAAGTGGGAAGTATGGGCATTTTTTTGGATATTTGAAGAATGCCGAGGGACAGTTGATAGAAGACGGCTATCCTGTTTGCAGCACGTGCAGAAAAAGAGTCTGTGAAAGGCAGCAACGCTTCAAATCTAACGACACATCATGCTTGACCATCACCCACAACTCAAGGCAAGGCAAGCTAACGTTAGCGTTTTAGCTAAAATGCGTGATCCGAGGATTTGGGTTGAGGGAGAATGCAACGAGTTGCTATATAAAGCAGCCGCTGCGCCGCTACCTGCATATAAATCGTGTCGCGGACACCCCCATGTTGAAAAGACACTATGCATTACGGGGCTCCCAGGGACAGATAAGAGTTGGTCTCTCTCCGAGAATAATTATGAATTTAACAATGATTACTGCCTGATGACATTTTCCCACATCTGCAAAGCTCACTGGAAGGACACAAACCGAGGACGATATTTTCCTGATATAGGGTTTATTACTCAAGTAAGGGTAAAAAAGTATCTGATTAGAAGTCTACTTGAGTACTGAGTATCATCTGATCTAATATTTTTAAAATGATTACATCAAACAGACAAAAAAATAAGAAGTTCTCAGGAAATATTGGTATTTTAAAGACTAAAAGGGAAAATGTAAACAAATAAACAACATAGTTACAAAATAACACATTTTAGGCAAAATTTAGACACAAACTAAGGACAATATTTTCCTGATATACAGGGTTTATGTAGTTGTCTGAAAATGTAACACGTTTAAAAAAATACTGCGATAATACCGAAAACCGTGATAATCATGGTCACAATAACCGTGAGGTTAAATTTTCACACCGTGACAACCCTAGTCAGTTTCTTCCTTTAATACAATGTGTTCCTTCCCCATTTAGTTAATTAGTCTCTCCTGATCCCTTCAGCTTACACTCCCCACACACCTGCTACCTGTATCCCTAATTGCTTCCCTCTGTGTGTAAAACCCTGTCTTGTCTCTCAGTGTTTGTCGGTCCATTGTATGTGTCAGCGTTGTTCTGTCCCTCTCTAGTTTCCCCAGGTCCGTGCTCATGAGTGAGCTTCTGTTTTGATTTTTTTGTCAGTGTTTTTTGAGATTAGATTCATTTTGCGCCCTTGGATTTTTACCCATCCTCCTTCAAATAAAGGAATTTATTTTCTCAAATCACTCCTGCCTCGAGTCGTTTTGGGTATTCTGCATCTTGGGTCCAACCCTCCTGCTCGCAGTGTGACAGGAAGTCAGTGATCCACCTGCAGATGGGGTCAGGCACGTTCATCTGGGACAGTTTGTCTTGGAGGAGGTCTGGGAGGACTGTGTTGAAGGCAGAGCTGAAGTCCACAAACAGGATTCTGGCATAGGTACCCAGGCTGGGTGGCTGGGTGAAAGGTTGACACCGGCCCCCGAGCACACTAGCCATTCTGGGATTCTTCAGAACTGGGACAGCAGTAGCTCAAGAGGAAGTGCGGGTTGTCCAGTAATCGGAAGGTTGCAGGTTGGATCCCGGCTACGACCAGAGATTTCTGCTGTTGTGTCGTCGGGCAAGACACTTAACCCCCTTGCCTGCTGATGGTGCTCAGACGGACCAGTGGCACCTATCTTTGGCCGGCTTTGCCTCTGTCAGTGTGCCCCAAGGCAGCTGTGACTACATTTTAGCTCATCCCCATCAGTGTGTGAATGGGTGAATGAGTGACTGTGTTGTGAAGCACCTTGGGAAGTTGTAGAACCCTAAGAAGGCGCTATACAAATACAGGCCATTTATCATTTTTATCATAACTCACAGATGGCCAGTCCACCACTGGTCAGGATTCTGAAATTAATTCTAGAGTTATTGGGTTACCAATGCAGAAACCTCAGAATAGGAGTAATGTGACATTTGTTGGAATTAGAGTAGAGTAGATTGTGTCCCTTTTTTCTGATGTTTTTTTTTTCTCATACAGATTTTTTGAATTGTTCAAAAAATACGGAGGATACAAGACGGGCAAGATAAAACTAAAAAAACCCAAACAACTGCAGGTGAGTCCAGTTATTTTCAACCTTAGACCCCTTTATTTATGGTTTTGTATTTGCAATTAAGGACCACTCTATTCATATTAACAACAAATATATGTGTTTTCTTTAAACAATGAAAATACTGGAGCTTTCTCGATTGCCGCTAGCACTTAACTCTCATAGTGGAGCTCACAACCGGAAGTCATTTTAAAAGTGTTTTTAGCCAGACATTTGTTGCCTAACTCTTGCCTTGATGCCAAACTCTTCATTTTATTTTTGACCTTCCATGTGGTTCCTGAATGGGTTACTAGAAAAGGTACCAATGCTAAAAAGAGCAAGAATGCTCACACTGCAACCCAGGAAGTACAGGTCCTTCTCAAAAAATTTGCAATATTGTGATAAAGTTCATTATTGGCTGTACTGTACTGATAAATATTAGACTTTCATATATATTATATTCATTAGACACAACTGAAGTAGTGCAAGCCTTTTATTGTTTCTAATATTGATGATTTTGGCATACAGCTCATGAAAACCCAAAATTCCTATCTAAAAAAAATTAGCATATTTCATCCGACCAATAAAAGAAAAGTGTTTTTAATACAAAAAAGATCAACCTTCAAATAATTATGTTCAGTTATGCACTCAATACTTGGTTGGGAATCATTTTGCAGAAATGACTGCTTCAATGCGGCGTGGCATGGAGGCAATCAGCCTGTGGCACTGCTGAGGTGTTATGGAGGCCCAGGATGCTTCGATAGCAGCCTTAAGCTCATCCAGAGTGTTGGGTCTTGCGTCTCTCAACTTTCTCTTCACAATATCACACAGATTCTCTATGGGGTTCAGGTCAGGAGAGTTGGCAGGCCAATTGAGCACAGGAATACCATGGTCAATAAACCATTTATTAGTGGTTTTTGCACTGTGAGCAGGTGCCAAGTCGTGCTGAAAAATGAAATCGTCATCTCCATAAAGCTTTTCAGCAGATGGAAGCATGAAGTGCTCCAAAATCTCCTGATAGCTAGCTGCATTGACCCTGCCCTTGATAAAACACACCAGCAGCTGACATGGCACCCCAGACCATCACTGACTGTGGGTACTTGACACTGGACTTCAGGCATTTTGGCACTTCCCTCTGCCCAGTCTTCCTCCAGACTCTGGCACCTTGATTTCCGTATGACATGCAAAATTTGCTTTCATTTGAAAAAAGTACTTTGAACCACTGAGCAATAGTCCAGTGTGTAACGATCAGGTGTCTCACACCGCTAATGTGGGTGGTGTGGGGGTGTCAGATGTGAAAGAACGAGCGTTGGGGGGTGCGGTGACACAGTTAATCTAGGAGCAACGGCACCGAACCCGAGTGTAAATGGGAACGCGGTGTTGTTCCGAAAAGTAAGGAATTAACTCACTTTGAGCTGAGGCAAAATATCTGAAGAGCTGGGAAGCTTGAATAAACAGCTGGTAGGCTGGCGGGATGAGCTGGATAGCTCGGATCTCTGACATAGATTCCTGAATCAATGACTGAGTGAGTATGTGGTTTGTACTTCCTCCTTTTATCAATGACGTTGATGACGTAGGGGGAAAAACAGTGAGAGGGGGATGATGGGAAGTGAAGTTCTAGGCTGAGGATTTGTAGGTAGAGAACTAAGTGGAAGATGAACACGGAGAGGATGTGACAGGACAGGCAGGGTATGTTGGGTGTGTGGTCTGTCACACATTTCTAGTGTGACAAAACTCTACTGTGTTTCCAGGAAGTGCTGGATATCGCTCGCTTGCTGCTGATTGAACTTGGGCAGCATAATGACTGTGAGATCGAGGAGAAGAAATCCAAACTGGAGCAGCTCAAGACAGTGTTGGAAATGTGAGTTGCATGAGCCTCGGCCTCTTTCAAAAACACACGACATTATGGGCTCGGCACACGGCAGGTGGCATCGCCTCTCCTTAGGACAGTCAGAAGTAAGACTTCACTTAACTCTAGAAAACCTTGTAAGACTTCGTATATACCGCTATTTCAACTCTGAACTGTTTTAATAACCCCAAATTAAAACAATGGAACACGTGCTATTCACCCTGGAACAGAGCGCGTCGCTGGCTTTTGTTGCTGGCCACGTCCACATGTCGCCTCCCGCCTGTCAAGCCCAGTAGTCATCACACTCAGGTTTTCTTCAGTAGGTTCACCAGAGCACAGCCCTCTGGCTCGCTTATATGCACACGCACGCACGCACACACACACACACACACACACACACACACACACACCCTACCTCTTTTGCCTTGACTTTAACATTTTTTTCTTTTCCTTTCCCCTCTCTTGTTTGTTCTGTCCACCCATCTGTTCTCCTGTTTCTCCAAAAGGGAATCCAGCTTTAATGGCACTCAGTATGCACCCTCTCTTTGGCTCACCTATTCACTTACTTTATTAGATGATGTTTTGTACCCTCCTTTCCTTTTGCCCGCATGGATTGTGTGAACAAAATATTAGGAATGTTGTACATAGACCATTTAGATGAATCTTGGAAACAGCTGATGTTTTTCCTAACAAAAAGGTATTTTTTATGGTTGTTACTGTTTAACATACTGCAGGTTTTGACCCATCAGTGTTTTCATCAGCAAAAGGTTTTTCTAAGTGAACTATTGACCCAAAATTTCCATTGCATTTCAACATCAACTCAAGTATTTAAATCATGCAAAGACATCTAAAAATCTAAGTCTATAAATGTAGTTATGTGTAATAAAGTGAAAAGACACTTTTAAAATATTAAACACATGAAGAAAACAAGGCCCAAAATGGCATTGAACACCAGGAGATCACCTGAAATCTGCCAGTACTGAGAAAGATACCCCGTCCTCTGTCAGTACTAATTGATATCAATTGTTTTAGTCATAATTGATGGCATATAGAGGCTTCTCAGGACCCAGGTGGCACACAGAAAAGACTTCATGTTGGGTAAAGGCACTTCTGACACTAAAAAACATGCAAAAAACATTCAAAACTCTACTTAACCCATCACCTCCACCACCTACCAGCAATCTATCAGCAGACCCCGTTGCCTCATATTTCACTGACACATGACGCTTGCACATTAGTGTCGGCACGGTCGGGGTTTGATGTGAGTTCGGTCTCGAACAGGTGGTGTAGTGTTCACATATAAATCCGAGGAACTTCTCAGGAATGCAGAAATCCCCGAGCCTCTGGGCGTGGTTTAATACGAGGTGAACAAAGACGGAGATGAGCTGTGTTGCTTTCAGAGACTCTGAACCACATTATTTTATTAATTTGCTGTGTGCGTCCTCATAATCTTGTGCCACACACACACACACACACACACACACACACACACACACACACACACACACACACACACACACACACACACACACACACACACACACACTTTCAGTAAATTTCTCTAAGAAGTAAAATATTTTTAGGGTTACATTCAGACATTTGTATATACGTATATACCAAGTAGTGTTTCTATGGTTACATTGTGATTTCTTAGTAAATATTCTATTTGGTGAGAGATAAACTTTATTGTATTTATCCTAGTGAATCTATAATTAAACGGGTAAACTAGTAGTAGCATATTCAATGTCAAGAAAAGTAAAAAGTTATTATCAAGAGAGGGAGAATGTTTAAGTGGTTAGCAACAGTGTGCTAGACGTTGGCCCCCTCCATGAGGCTACCACAGCTCAGCAGAACATCATTGTAGCTTCTTTTGGGGAGAAAAACAGAGAAAAAATAAAGTTGACAGCTGAAATAGCAAGAAATAATACAGTTAAAGAGCAGATTGTAGAAGAAAGTAGTCAAGTGTGGAAAGTGGTCAGTATGTCCTCCAGCAGTCTAAGCCTATAGCAGCAACTACAGAGATAACTCTGGAAAACCTAGCCTTTTAGACGGAGACATGTTGGAGGCAGGGCAAGGGAGAGCCGTCTTTACCGACTGTACACTCCACCTCCCTCTACTCCCCCACTTGTCCAGATCCAGACATCAGATTATAACCATAGGCCCTATAAAAAAATGTTTTAAGCCTAGCCTTAAGAGTACACAAGGTGTCTGCCTCACGGACTAAAGCTGGGAGCTGGTTCCACAGGAGAGGAGTCTGATAACTAAAAGATCTGCCTCCCATCCTATTTTTAGATATTCTGGGAACCACCAGTAAACCTGCAGTCTGAGAGTGAAGTGCTCGGTTAGGAACATATGGAACAATCAGGTCGCTGATGTATGATGGAGCTTGATTATTACGAGCTTTATATGTAAGAAGAAGGATCTTAAAATCTATTCTGAATTTAACAGGCAGCCAATGTAGGGAAGCTAAGACAGGAGAGATATGATCTCTCTTTTTAATTCTTATCAGAACTCTCGCTGCAGCATTTTGGACAAGCTGGAGACTTTTAACTGCTCACATACTTGGATGGCCACTATTTTCTCCAGGACTTTGGATAAAAATGGAAGGTTAGATTTTGGTCTATAATTCATTGGGTCATCTGGATCCAGGGAAGGTTTCTTAAGTAAAGGTTTGATTACAGCAACCTTAAAATCCTGTGGTACATATCCATTTACTAAGGATAGATTGATTATATCTAGAAAGGGGGCAGTAACCAAAGGAATCAGTGGTGATTAGCAGTGTTCTGCAGGGCCTGAGTAGCTGTTGAACAGGGGATTCAGCCCTTGAATAAGCAGGGTGAGATATAAAACAAGCTGGGTAGGGGATCTTGAGGATCAGGGATGGGCACACCTTACCTTAACATAAAGCACTCTCCCAAGATCTTTTTAATCTAATCGATGGAAAACATTCTGATGGGAATGGTTATATGTGCATTTCTAGAATGCTGAATGCTCATGTGAGCACTGTGGGGGCCAAGAAATGGAAAGATCATCAGCTCCTCATAAACCGGCTACAATCAGGTGCTCCACGTAAGATTCCTCTCTGAGGAGCTTAAAAAAAATTAAGAGGGTTCTTCAAGAGCCAAGAATCACTCAGGTAGAACATCCGGAAGACCTGGCATCAGCATGTACTGTTAAGAAAAGTATAGGCAATGCACTGAACCACCATAGCAGGGGTGTCAAACTCCAATTCCCAATGAGCCCAAATGCAAAACTGGACAAAGTCGCTGCTCAAACTCAATATTTTTTTAAAGTGACAATAAATGAGCTCATTTTCCTTCATCTACAGACGGTTGAATCTTTTCATTTGGAAACAAACATATTTTTGCAGCAACACTGAAAGTGGAAAAACCACATTACACACGAGCAAATCGATGTTAAATAAAGCACATATCAGTGGTATTAATTTCTTATTATGTCAATTTTTATGTAGTTTTATTCCTTAGATTGTGTATGTGTACAGCATTATTTTTATAGTTTGTTTTCTTGTTGTTTACTCTTTATTCTTTATTTTTTACTCCCCTTTCTGCTCCTGTAATGCATGTTGTTGCTGCTGTGGCACCAAGCTTTCCCCACTTAGAGACAATAAAGGATTTTCTATTCTATTCTATTCTATTATCTGTAATCTTTCCTGTTTTAAAGTTGGTTAAATCTTTTCCACAGGCCAACAGCATAAATAAAATATAGTAATTCTCTTAAATGAAAATATAATCTCACCTATTAACTTTCATGCTTTGGAGCAGAAAAAGTGCTTAAAACCACAATAACCCAGCCCAGTTTGCTCCACTCTGATTTCCTGCGATGCTCACCTGTTCCAGCCACCCACCTGTACCCGTGGGGTGGGCTCTGAGCTGAGGAAGAGCTTTGTTGTTCTGTTCATCTTCATCACAGACAACAGCTGCTCACAGAGATAAGTGCTGCTGAACATGGAGAGCATCTGAGCAGCTGGACCACGCTGTTGGTCAGCGTGTCGGGAGGAGAGATGAACGCTGCAGGAGCTACAAAGTCAGACTGATGGAGCATGTCGCTACACTGGAGTTAAATCATCATGGTCTGGAAGTTGGTTGTGAGCTTTCTATGTCGGTGGAAAACAGATTACTGAGCTGTTAAATCCATTTCTGGGCTTGAAAGTCGGCTAATTTCTGAATAAACTCGGCTGAGTAAGAGGAGAGTTCTCATTTTGTCCGAGGCAGAGAAGGTAACGCTGCTGATGCTGATGCTAGTAGCATGGATGCTAATGAGTGGAAACAGAAAGGAGGGGGCGCTTCAACAGACGTGCTAATGCACTATGGGATATGTAATCTTTGTGGCAATACATATATTTGATCTCGCTGGACAAATAAAAACAGACCATGAGCCAAATTTGGCCCGAGGGCCGGAGTTTGACATCTTTGCGCCATAGCATCCATGCATGCTCACCACACAAGACTACATTGCTGAACAAAAAGCATGTTGAAGCACAGTTAAAGTTTGCAAAACAGCATTTGGAGAAGCATTTGGTTTACTGGTAGACCATAGTAAAGCAAAATTCATCTTGTTGGCTGTCATTCTACCGTGTATGGAGAAGAAACGATAAAGAAACGATAAAGTTGAATGTTGCTTGAAGTGATCTGTGAAACAGTATGACTTATTCATATATAAGCGTCCATTTGTTGGACACATTTCCTCTGTGTGTGTGTGTATGTGTGCTTGTCTTTATATAATAATGCATTGAACTTATATAGCGCTTTTCAGGACACTCAAAGACGCTTTCACACACTCACATTCACACACTGCCAGTGATGGTAAGCTACTTTGTAGCCACAGCCACCCTGGGGTGGTCTGACAGAGGCGAGGCTGCCATTTGGTGCCATCGGTCCCTCTGACCACCACCAACACAGGCAAGTTGAAAGAAGTGTCTTGCCCAAGGACACAACAGCAGAATATTCCTGGCAGGAGCTGGAATCGAACCCATGACCCTCCAATCATAGGGC